ATAAATATTTTTTACGATTTTGTACATGTACGATTTATTTTGTAATATCATTTTATACTTCAATGAATATTGATACTATCCTCGATCCCATTTCATATATTGCTATGCCTATATTTCACTATTTCTTGGATTTTATACATTAATAGAACTAAGATAGTATGAGTGAAAATAAGTTAAAACATGAAGAAACAATTTCTCAATATTTCTACAATCGCATTTTTTACATATTGTTATCAGTGTAAATATTAAGTATCCCATTATAATATACAATTTGACATAAAAGTAGCACCTACTCACTTAAAATGTCACAATATATGAACCGGCGAGAGAAGCTTGTGTAGTATTTACAATAAATCTGAAGCTCTACTGGCAATTCATGAAACATGTTGCTGGAACTTCCTTTCACTTTACTTACCTGTTCTTCAAGGCCTTAATGTTGGCCGACATTATGTATCTATAGTGTGGAATCTAATTTCATGCCTTCAGATATTCAATCAAAGAAGTATTTTTAAACTTCTTATTTATACGTAACACTCACTTTGATTAGTACAAACAAAAATAACTAATTGTTTCTTTGATTTTTTTTTATCAAATTATACAGCATAAATGAATGTTAATGTTAATCAAAGAGTAACTTATAGAAAAATAACGAATGGCTCATGTAAAACGTATAAAAGTAAATCACGAAATCTGTCGAAAAATATTTTTCTAGGATAAAGTTAGAAAAGTAACTTTATGCAGTAAGTGTTAAAACTCTCGTTAAGCTCAAAAAATGAGGATTGATTTCTTTACGATCGCTGTCTGAGATATAATCCTGATCGGCCAAACCTTATAAACTCTAAATTATGCTATACTAAAGCTCACAATTATTGGCTTCTGATGATCTTCTATGTACCAAGATTGCTCAAGTGTTTCCGCGTAAAGTTGCTTGATTCCTGAAAAATTTGAGACTGCATGTAAGGAAAATGCATATAGACTTCACCAGGTTTAGTGGCTGCACGTTACAAAGATATGCCAAGATAAAGTAAGTCAATATGTACATGTTACTGCAAGCGTAACTGACTTGTGAGAAAAAGGGGCTTTAGTAGGCAGATAGCGTAGTAGGTACAGTTGGTGAAACCGATGTAGTGTGGTCGTAAATTAAAGCACCCAGGGCTGTACTGCGCAGAGCTGGAAAGAAGTCCAGTGGAAGGAATGCGGGTCTGATTGGGTTATATCCCCATAAGCCTACCTTCTCTAAACAATCGTAGAAATAGGATACAGGCATTGTTATTATTGGCCGATGCGATAACATCGACGAGTCGGATCATATGTACAGCATCGCGTAATAGAAGAATCAGACGGTTCGAACGAAATAAGTACTTACTTATATGTTAAGTGTGTACTTCTCCTGTGTCGTCCCGCTGGATTTCTTTCCAGCTCTGCACAGTACATCATTTACGAATTGATATTTAAAATTTAAACTTACAATCTTTTATTAAAGCTACATATGTATATGGTATTAAGCCTCCGCCGCTTTCTGTTTAATAGTAATTACTGCATTTGGTAAAAATTAACCTGCAACTGTTAAGAGTTATTACGCAAACAAATTTTTTAAACATATGTACTGCAATAGAAAAATCAATTCTAAGTTAACATCAGACAATCCTGAATGTTGATTTGAAAACTCATAAATTATACAATAATAAAGCAATGTTCTACTACTTAATGAAAACGAAACATTAACAAATATCGGTATTATATGTTTTATACGACAAGAAGGGTAACATTTCAAAGAATTCTTCTCTAATTGCTAAAAGAATCATTACATTGGAAGAATTCAACTTTGTCTTTTGTCCATCTTGGTTAATTCTTGCAATTTTCATTGACACATTTATAAATATTATAAATGTGATACCTGTAGTTTGTCTAATAAAAGACTACCTATGGCAATAGTTTTATCTAGATACCGTTATATTGAAAACTCTAAAAGAATTCAATAGCTTTTTGATTTCTGCCAGGGAATGGTATTTTCAAATATGTGTGCCACGTATAAGAAATGGTTCAAAAGACAGATAGCATACGACGTCTTGTTAGATACGTCCATTTTTGGTCTGTTTTTGAAACCGTACGTGTGCAGATGCCAGCGCGTAGTTCTTTGCTGCACCGCATGGTGTAGCTATGCGCTGCTTATTTGGACGGTTAAGTACAGGCTATGCACGCCACATCGCGCATATTCGATAAATGTCGATACATTAGATGAAAGTACGCATTCGCGTTATTTTCCTTTAGGAAATAATGAAATGGAATAAGTGCAGCACTTGCCATTCGTAGCAAACTATAGAATAACTGTGAATGAATTGCGAAGAAAACTTTAACCTATTCTTGTATGGATTCATGCAGCTTCGTGAGAATAACTCTCTTAAGCATCGCATACAAAATATATGCAGCTATATTGAATGACAGATTAGGCAAATTTATATATAAATAAATAAAATTATATA